CAGCCACTGGATGAGAGTTCTAGGATGGCATATAAGGCAGTCATCATTCTCATCATGGGAGGGCATTTAAGGTAGGCTTAGTGCCAGTTGGTATCATTCTTGTAGATCTGTGAAGATCTCACTAGTGCCAGATCTCTCCTCCAACTTATACTGGCTCCCTCTTTTCTGGTATCTCCCATCCTTTTCTCTATTCTTACTGTGGCTCAACCTTCCTGCTCTCCCATGTCCTCCTCTCCCCTCCTCTTTTCTCTCTCTCTTCCTCCCATCTCCTTCTACCCTCGCCTTCTCCCCACCCCCAATCCAATTAGGAGATCGCATAAACTAACCCTTCTCTGGTTTACCATGCATATCTCTCTTAGGGTCCTCCCTGCACCCCAGACTCTCTGGTAGTAGGGTTGTGGGCTGGCAATGCCCTGATCCATGTCTAAAATCCATATATGAGTGAGTACATACCATGCTTGTCTTTTTGTGACTGGGTTACCTCACTCAGGATGGTTTCTCCCAGTGCCATCCATTTCCCTGTAAATTTCAAGATTCCGTTTTGTTTTGTTTTTTCTGCTGAGTAACACTCCATTGTGTAAATGTACCACATGTTCTCTATCCACTCTTCATTTGAGGTGCATCTTGGTTCTTTCCAGGTTCCGGCAATTACAAATAATGCTGCTATGAACATAGTTAAGCAGATGTCCTTATTGTATGAAGGTACATCTTTGGGGTATATGCCTAAGAGTGGAATTGCTGGATCTTGTGGTAGACTGATTTCCATTTTTCTGGGGAATCTCCATATTAATCTCCAAAGTGGCTGCACAAGTTGGCATTCTCACCAGCAGTGGAGGAGTGTACCCCTTTCTCCACATCCTCTCCAGCATAAACTGTCATTAGTGTTTTTTATTTTAACCATTCTGATGGGGAGTGAGATGGTATCTCAGAGTTGTTTTGATTTGCATTTGCATTTCTCATTGAACACTTCCTCAAGTGTCTCTTGGCCATTTTGGACTCCTGTATTGAGAATTCTCTATTTAGTTCTATACCACATTTTTTAATTGGATCCTTTGGTGTTCTGGAGTCTTGCTTCTTGAGTTCTTTGTAAATTTTGGAGATCAGCTCTCTGTCAGATGTGGGGTTTGTGAATATCTTTTCCCTTTCTGTGGGCTGTCTTTTTGTCTTGTAGACTGTGTCCTTTGCCCTGCAAAAGCTCCTCAGTTTCAGGATGTCCCATTTATTAATTGTCGATCTCAGTGTCTGTGCTACTGGTGTTATGTTCAGGAAGCGGTCTCCTGAACAATCCATCCAAAAGGTACCTCCCACTTTATCGTCTATGAGATTCAATGTGGCTGGATTGATGTGAGGTCTTTAATCCATTTGGACTTAAGTTTTGTGCATGGTGATAGATATGGATCTATCTGTTGTCTTTTACATGCCAGCATCCAGTTACTACAGCACCATTTGTTGAAGATGCTTCCTTTTTTCCATTGTATAGTTTTAACTTATTTGTCAAAGATCAGATGTTCAAAGGTGTGTGGGTTGATATCAGGGTCTTCGATTCGATTCCATTGGTCTACCTGTTTATTTTTGTGCCAATACCAAGCTGTTTTCAGGACTATAGCTCTATAATAGAGCTTGAAGTCAGGGATGGTGATGCCTCTGGAGGTTCCTTTATTGTACAGGGTTGCCTTGGCTATCCTGGGTTAAGGATTGTCCTTTCGAGGTCGCTGAAGAATTGTGCTGGTATTTTGATAGGGATTGCATTGAATCTGTAGGTTGCTTTTGGTTAGATTGCCATTTTTACTAGTTGATCCTACCTATCCAAGAGGATGGGAGATCTTTCCATTTTCTGGTATCTTCTTTAATTTCTTTTTTAAGGACTCAAAGTTCTTGTTATACAGGTCTTTCACTTGTTTGGTTAGAGTTACCCCAAGATATTTTATGGTGTTTGTAGCTATTGTAAAGGGTGATGTTTCTCTAATTTCTTTCTCATCCCCTTTATTGTCTATATTTAGTAGGGCTACTGATTTTTTTTTTAGTTAATTTTGTATCCTGCCACTTTGCTAAAGGTGCTTATCAGCTGTAGGAGTTTCCTGGTAGAATTCATTGGGTTGCTTATGTAGACTATCATCTACAAACAGTGAAAGTTTGTCTTCTTCCTTTCCAATTCGAATTCCCTTGATCTCCTTTGTTGTCTTATTGCTCTAGCTAGAACTCCAAGTACAATATTGAAGAGAAATGGAGAGAGTGGACAGCCTTGTCTTGTTCCTGATCTAAGAGGAATCGCCTTTAGTTTCTCTCCATTTAGCTTGATGCTGGCTGTTGGTTTGCTGTATATAGCTTTTATTATGTTTAGGTATGTTCCTGTTATCCCTGATCTCTCCAAGACCTTTATCATGAAGGGGTGTTGAATTTTGTCAAAGGCTTTTTCATCATCTAGTGAGATGATCGTGTGGTTTTTCTTTTTCAGATTGTTTATGGTGGGTTACATTGATGGATTTTCGTATGTTGAACCATCCCTGCATCCCTGGGATGAAGCCTACTTGATCATGGTGTATGATTTTCTGATATGTTCTTGGATTCAATTTACCAGTATTTTATTGAGTATTTTTGCATCAATGTTCACGAGGGAGATTGGTCTGTAATTCCCTATCTTGGTTGTGTCTTTGTATGGTTTGGCTACTAATGTAATTGTAGCCTTGTAAAAAAAAATTTGGCAGTGATCCTTCTGCTTCTATTGTGTGGAACAATTTGAAGAGTGTTGGTATTAGCTCTTCCTTGAATTTTTGGTAGAATTCTGCACTGAAACCATCTGGCCCTGGACTTTTCTTGGTTGGAAGACTTTTTATGGCTGCTTCTATTTCTTTAGGGTATATAGATCTGTTTAAATTGTTGATCTCTTCTTGATTTAATTTTAGTAAGTGGTATCTATCCAGAAAATCATCCATTTCCTTTAGATTTTCCAATTTAGTGGAGTACAGATTTTCAAAGTATGACCTGATGATTCTTTGCTTTACCCCAGTGTCTGTTGTTATGTCCGCTTTTTCATTTCTGATTTTGTTAATTAGCATGTTCTCTCTCTGTCTGTTAGTTAGGTTTGATAAAGGTTTGCCTATCTTGTTGATTTTCTCAAAAAAACAACTCTTTGTTTCATTGATTCTTTGTATTGTTTTCTTTGTTTCTACTTTATTGATTTCAGCTCTCAGTTTGATTATTTCCTGGAGTGTACTCCTCCTGGTGAGTTTGCTTCTTTTTGTTCTAGAGCTTTCAGGTGTTCTGTTAATTCTCTAGTGTGGCAATTCTTAGTTCTACTGATGCTCAAAGAAATGGAAACTAAGATCCCAGTTAAGGACCATTTTACAGCCATGATAGGCTCAGAACTGGATCATATACCTCATTCGAAGCGCCCTTTTGATCCACATTAATGGAATTGTAAGTTGATAAGTGTGTAGGAAGCAATGTAGAATTCTCATGGGTTTTTGACCATCTGCCTGTCCTGTCACCCAGCACTTCTGGCAAATATCTGCTCTTGGCCACAGGAACTCTCCACATGTGTTTGTGCATAGGATAGTAAAGCAGGAAGCCACTCAAGTTCCCATCTATAGAAATTAATGCATACACTGTAGTAAGTTCCCAGTGTCATTTAATTGTACAGTGAAGAAAGTGAATGAGACAGAAATACATAGGACCACATGGATGGGATTCTATGTGTGATAAAGGCAACATCTCATTACAAGACATGACTTTTTCTTTTAATACTGTTGAAACTTAGTGGCCATCTAGGAAAATACTAAGTTGGATAAATATTTTATGCCAGGTTAACTTTTGAATGAATCAAATGTGAAAATGAAATTGTTTCTTGGGAACAAAAACGCAGTAAAGTTCTTGATCATCTTGGAGTAAAAGCAACCTTCCTAACTATAGCCAGAAATCCAGAAGGCATTGCAGATAAATGAGTAAGCCAAATAAGAACCTGTGTCCTATGAGGTACTGGGAGTCCAAAGGCAGCCTTCATCCTGAGGTGCCTGTCAGGGAACTCCTAGCTCATGAAGTACTCTTTGCAGGAAACATGTCGAAGACCTCAGAAAAGTTAACAGAAATAGTCTGAAAAGGGGGAACTACTGACAGGAAACAGTAGTCAGTGCTGTTCGTAAGTGGGGAAATGCAAACAAAAAGTAGAGTTAACCCTTGTCAGGTCAGCTGTTTCTGGGGTTAAACCAGCCCAGTCTTGGTCATCAGTCCTCCCTCTCTGTTACTGGCTTTCTTGAGTTCAGCTCAGTGCTTAGCCATGAGAGTCTGCCTCTGCTTCCATCAGCCACTGAATGAAGGTTCTGTTTCCCAGACTCTCTGGCCATGGGATTGTGGGCTGGCACTCCCCAGATCTATGTCTAAAATCCATATATGAGAGAGTACATGCCATGTTTCTCTTTTTGTGACTGCATTACCTCACTCTGGATGGTTTCTTCTAGTGTCATCCATTTGCCTGAAAATCTCAGGATTCCATTGTTTTTTTCTGCTGAATAGTACTCCATTGTGTAAATGTACCACATTGTCTCTATCCACTCTTCGGTTGAAGGGCTTCTAGGTTGCTTCCAGGTTCTGGCTATTACAAATAATGCTGCTATGAACATAGTGGAACAGACATCCTTGTTGTATGAATGAGAATCTTTTGGATATATGCCTAAGAGTGGAGTTGCTGGGTCTTGTGGTAAGTTCCTTCCCATTTTTCTGAGGAATCTCCATACTGATTTCCAAAGTGGCTGAACAAGTTGACACTCCCACCAGCAATGGAGGAGTGCTCCCCCTTCACCACATCCTCTCCAGCATAAATTGTCATTGGTGTTTTTGATTTTAGCCAGTCTGACAGGAGTGAGATGGTATCTCAGTTGTTTTGATTTGCATTTCCCGGATGGCTAAGGATGTTGGGCACTTTCTCAAGCGCCAGCACCTCTTAATCATGGCAACATTGGGTGTGTGGTCGAGGGGACTCCACTTAATCCACCATTGCTTTGCAGAATCAAACTTCATGGGTCCTATCCAGCATGGCAGCCCTCTACTGGAGAGTGAAAGGTCAGGGGAAAAAAGCCATCGACTGCCTGCGCCAGGCCCTGCACTATGCCCCCCACCAGATGAAGGTGAGTGAGGGGGTGAGGGGTGTCTGTACCCCACACCAGAGGAAGGTGAGTAAGGGGTGAGTGGGTGTCTACACCCCACACCAGAGGAAGGCAAGGGAAGGGGTGAGGGGTGTCTATATCCCCCCACCAGATGAAGGTGAGGGAGGGGTGAGTGGGTGTCTACACCCCACACCAGAGGAAGGCAAGGGAAGGGGTGAGGGGTGTCTATATCCCCCACCAGATGAAGGTGAGGGAGGGGGTGAGCGGGTGTCTACACCCCCCACCAGAGGAAGGTGAGGGAGGGGGTGAGCGGGTGTCTACACCCCCCACCAGAGGAAGGTGAGGGAGGGGGTGAGCGGGTGTCTACACCCCCCACCAGAGGAAGGTGAGGGAGGGGGTGAGCGGGTGTCTACACCCCCCACCAGAGGAAGGTGAGGGAGGGGGTGAGCGGGTGTCTATATCCCCCCACCAGATGAAGGTGAGGGAGGGGGTGAGCGGGTGTCTACACCCCCCACCAGATGAAGGTGAGGGAAGGTCTGTGTGTGTTCCTCTCTGATGGCCAGTGGCTTATGCTGTTTTCACCTAGGCCCCCTCACGCTCAGCCAGTGCGAAAGTGCTGCACTGAGGACATGTAGTGGTGGTCTGTGGCTCTCCCTGCCTCACAGAGTTGGAGCATAAAGGAAGCTCTGAGATCATGCTGACATTCTGTCCCCTCACACCTCTCCTATTGTACTGGAGAGCCACTCCTCTGGCTGAGCAGGCCCCCTGCCTGGGAGTCTTTCTGGAGCTAGCTCATCCCCTGTGGATTTGAGATGCTCCTAAATGCTTCTCTTCCTATCCCTTTGTGCAGATTAGTAAATTCCCAGTCTCCTCCTACCTGCACAACATGCTAACTGTAGATCTTTCCATAGCACTCAGTGTTGTTACAGTAGCTGAGGGTATGACTGGTTATAGCGGACTTTCCTAGTTCTGCATCACTCTAGATGCCCTACCTTGTAGAACTGTGTCTACTTTCAGATGGTTCCCAGGCTGGCAAAAGAGCCGCTTCACCAAGAGCAGGCAGCTCTGAGTTCTAAGCCCAGCTGTGCTTTGCACTAACCTTCTGACCTTGGGCCAGATGTTGAATAGTGCTCTCATCTAAGGACATACACTTCTGCAGTTGTCCAGTGAGGACAGAGACGGGTCCCTTTTTGTTGTTTGTCCATGTCTCCCATAGAACCCAGCACAGTGTGTGACAACCATGCTCACATGGCGTGTTTAAAGGGGAAGGATCTGTGGGGATTGGCGTCACTAGTTGTTCAGTCTGCCCTTCTGTACTTCACACAGTGGGCAGCAGACACGGAAGACAGTAAGGCATTTAGCTGTGCGGGTCAGAGAGCCTCTGCACACCTGCTGGTCTTGCATGGGGTGTGAAGACTGCCACAATGGTTAGGGGGAGTTCCCCCAGTCACCACAGACGCAGACAGCTGGACCTGGCCTGTGGGCACGTCAACCAACTGCTACAAATGGCACACTAGCCCTTGCTCCATAGGAGAGCGTTTGCCTAGCACATGCAAGCTCACTGTCTTGTCAGTGCTCCTCTCAGACTGTGGCCAGGTGTCTGACTGTGGACTTCGTGTTCACAATCTGCAGTGACAAGAGAGTATGTTCCTGTGGAAGTCACTCCCGAGGTTCACCTCCATTGTCTGTTAGTTGTCTTTGCTTTCCGAAGTGGGCCTGTAACCCAGTAGAAGAGCGTTAATAATAATTACTATTGTTTTTATTATTAATGCTTTTGATGGAAGGCCTTGTCAATGAAAGGGTTTTGTTGGGCTTTCTTCTGGCACAGCTCCTGCTTTGCTCTTCATTTGGAGCAAACAGCAGCCTGGCCCTGTGTACTTCCGTGTCACGCTGTCAACTCCCAGGAGCAGGACTGTATTCTACATGCCTGGAAAGGTCAGGAGGGAAGCTCACTTACCTCTCTCCTCCTCCTCCAGGATGTGCCCCTAATCAGCCTGGCCAACATCCTGCACAATGCCAAGCTCTGGAATGATGCCGTCATAGTGGCCACCATGGCTGTGGAGATCGCGCCACACTTCGCCGTGAACCACTTCACTCTGGGCAACGTCTATGTGGCAATGGTGAGACTGGGGTGTAAGCTAGCTCACTTCTGATACAGGTGCATCTTGACTCCAAAGCTTTCTTTAAGTGTGTCACTGGGCTTCAGTTCCCCACAAGTTATCTCCAAGATTATCGGCTACACCAACATAATGTTTATCCACAGGGTGTGAGAGGTTGGGTTGGGTTATTGTTGTTTGGGGGGGGTTGGGTTTTTTGCAGTTTTATTTTAGATTGTTTATTTTATGTGTATGACTATTTTGTCTGCATGTATTTATGTGTACCATGTGCTTGCCTAGTGTCCTCGGAGATCAGAAGAAGGCATTAGATTCTTGGGGACTAGACTTACAGACAGTTGTGAGCCACCAAATGGGTGCTGAGAAACAAACCCAGGTCCTCTAGAAGAGAAGCCAGTGATCCTGATTGTGTATCTATCTCTCTGGGCGCATGGATTGTGTTTCCTTAAATAACACATGATATACTCTAAGCATTTGCAGCTCCATGGTTCTTCACCTTGAGGGTTTTAGCATAGTAGTGTTAACAGACTGGTCTAAAACTCTTGAACTGGCACAGGTGTTTGTATTTCCCTCTAGACTCTGAGCCCCTTGGGACACAGCTGCTCTTTTCTATGTGCAGGAGCAGACTAGGTACCCAGCAAACACTCGCTGATTAACTCTAGTAGCTTCAAAGCTACTGTTCACAAGGGAAAATTGTAATGCCACTCACCAGGTTCCTCTTCTGGTCAGAAAGAGGTCTGATTTCATTAGGGGTGTGTGTGTGTGTGTGTGTGTGTGTGTGTGTGTGTGTGTGTGTACATGTGTATGTGTGATGTTGGAGATCAAACCCAGGGTCCTCCTGGCACTCACTAAGCAAGTGGTTTACCATTGAGCTCTGCAACCCCAGCCTTGATTTCAAAACTCAAAGGTCCCTGCCAAAACTGTGATGACCATATATAACATGTGAACCAGGCCATCTGCTGCCTGTGCTGTTCTCCTAACAGATAATGGAATGAGCCACGCTGGGCTGTAAGCTGTGTATATGTCATCCCTGACTTCTGAGGCATTAGTGGCTCTGGCCAGGCTGGTACCATCTCTGATTTCTGAGACATTGTGCCTCTAGCCAGGCTGGCATTGCTGAATGTGTAGCCTTCTCTGCTTCATAAAACTGGAGACTGTTTTTATCCCCAGAAAATGTGAAGTTTGCTATGAGTGAGCTAGTGTGTCTCGTTGGGTGAGAAAGCCAGTGAGGCTGTCCTGATGTCTTCTACGTACAACTAGTTCTCAGTATAGCAACCATCATTTCTAAGTGTTTTAAATGTTTGGGGAAATAGAAAGTCCTGATACTCTACAGTGGTAAGAGATGCCCAAGTTCAGTTCCATCTTGCCAGGCATGCTAGAAAATCAAAGCAGATGCCCAATGAGCATTTGCCAGGCCTCAGTCAGAGCCTTAGGAGCCTAAGGAGGGAATGTGTTAAGGCACTAGAATGGTGCCAGCCACATCTCAGGCCTTAGTGGTGGTGGCTCTTAGGGGCCACTGACACTCCAGACCAATACAGGTCAATTTTCTGCTTCCACTTAGTCTGTGGGTACAGCCACTGCTTGCCTTATGGTTGTGCCTTGGGGATAGGCTACTGTCTCTTCCCACACCTCAGCTCCCTACAGACTTAACGTCCACGTAATATCACGGAGATTGTGACTGGTCACAGGCATGTTTAGAGTCAGGTGATGCCATCCCCCTCACATTTGTTCCTTGTCCCTCACAGGAAGAGTTTGAGAAGGCCCTGGTGTGGTATGAGTCAACACTGAAGCTACAGCCAGAGTTCGTGCCTGCTAAGAACCGGATCCAGACCATCCAGTGCCACCTAATGCTGAAGAAAGGCCGGCGGTCCCCCTAGGGCCTGCTTCCTTCCCTCGGCTCTCCCAGCCACGGTCCCCCTAGGGCCTGCTTCCTTCCCTCGGCTCTCCCAGCCACGGTCCCCCTAGGACATGCCTCCCTTCCCTCGGCTCTCCCGGTCCTGAGCAGAGCCCCATCACAGTCGGTTCCCACATGGGGGTGTGTGGGAATTACCGAGGAAGACATAGCAGGACTTGGCCTGCAAGGCTGGCTTTGCTGGTTTAAGCTCCTCCTCCCCAGCTACCCTCAGAAGAGGCATCTTCAGAAACAGGGTTTCCCACACACTGTAAATACTGAGCCAGGACAGCCGGAGCTCCGCTCTGTCTTCAAAACCTCCATGCCTTCATGGCTCCTCCATGGTCCAGCCTCTTCCCTGGAGAGGCCAGAGCCACACTGCCCATTCTCTGCTTCCCGTGTAGCCTCTGTTCCTGGAATTGCAATGCCAGCTGGGGCCGGTCAGTGAGAAGCAGGGATTCTTGATGCCCCCAGCAGCTCTGCTCCCTGCCCCAGTCTCGTCCATTCCACGCTGCTATGTTACAAGCTCTCAGAGATAGTTTGCAGGGGAGGAAGGGGAAACAATTTTACAAACAAAATATTTACAACAGCAGACACTCTTAGGGTCATCTGACCTTTGTAAGTTATTTATGTTGGGGTGGGAGGGGGGCTGAGCAGGGGAGTCAGCCGTGTGCAACATCTTTATCATTTGTATTTTAATTGCAGATCGCAAGGAAACCAATACATTGAAATCCTATATAACAGGTTTATATATATATAGAATATGTGTATTTGAAGCCCTCTACAGACTGAGTCTGTGGTACTAATTCCTTGTTCGCTGTGTTCCCCGTCTTGGATTAGGCGTGACTGTCAGCCCTCTCTGTGAGGCTGGCACACCAACTCCTCAGAGGAGAGCCAGGAGCCAGGGTTGGGTGTCCCACACAGTGCCCTTTCCTTTGATCCCTGGAGAATCAGAAACTTCAACATTTTGGAATCTTTAAGGGCACATATTGAGAACAAAAATAAAAATTGTTTATGAGCAAAATCGCTTCGTGGTGTAGTTTTTTTCTTCAGATGTGAGCTAATTTGGACTCTGGTGACTCTGGCTCTGGTTGCCTAAGTTCTGGGTCATCTCACAGCAGCAAGGTGAGGAATGACACCATCCATCGCTGGTGAACAAACTTAGAGCTTGAAACATCTGACCGGAAAGCTGCACCATCAGCAGAGCTGACCGTGTGACTGGGCTTCCTGGAAAAGGAAAGGTCAGGAAGCCAGAGTCACGACTCCTCAGATGAACACTGAGCCTCAGGCCTGCCAAGGAAGTACCTCACAGAACCAAGCGGGGTGACTCTGGAATGGGGCCCACCAAGGGAGGCGTCCTACAGAGTTTCCAGAACACCATCAGGCCATCCCTGACACTGGCTCTCTGCAGACGTGCTCCAGTGAGTTGCATTTTGACCAGAAGCATGTGGAAAACAGCAAGTCCATTGGTGACTGGATATGGCAAGGCTCTGCTCAGGACTCTCCAGTGAGTCTAAGCGAGGTCCTGCCTCCCCACCTCACCATAGGAACCTCCAACAAATGCTTGTTGGCTCTTGACGCTCACAGTGAACTGGGTCTGCTGCATAATTCTTTGCGTTCCCACAAGTGTCTAGAGTCGCGTAGCCATGATAGCAGTCAGAACATAAGCCTCCACTGTGAGCTGGGGGTTGTGGCTCGGTGAAAGAGCACTTGCCTCACATGTGTGAAGCCCTGGGTTTGATCCCTCACATCACAAAAAATAGTAGCATTAAACTTTCTACCACCCACAAAGACTGGTGCTTTTTAGCCAAACCACCTCTGCCCTCAACCCTCAGCAACCATCGGCCTTCCCTCTGTCCCTGCAGTCGCACCGTTTCCACAGTGCTATAGAAATAGAATTACACAGTTGTTTCCACCCAGGTCGTCAGTTCCTCGAGATCTTCTCTTGTGCCCACTTAATTCTACTGTTTTTCTGGGGCATGCTTCACTGGATGTCATCATGTATCATTCACCACCCTGCACTGAAAAGAGCCCAGCCTCTTGTCTCCTGTCAGGAGCTCGGCTCCTAAGTCTAATCTGTATCCTCTATTCTCACAAGAGGCCCAGAACTAAGTAGTTGCTCAAAACTATTGAATTAGTGTTGAAAAGACCAAATAGTAAATGCTGCAGGAATCATGACACAGAGACTTGTTACCAGTTATGAGTGCTCTACCTTAGCTTACTTAGGCTTGCTTTGCTAGCTCTTATAACTTAACCTGTTTCTCTCATCTACGGTTTGCCTCTGGCCTTTTTACCTTCCTTTCCTTCTGTGTACCCTATTTCACTGCTTCTTGTGTCTGGCTGGCTGGCAGCTGGCTGGCTTCTGGCCTCAGGCATGTCCTTTCGTTTTCCCTTGTTCTCTCCTCTCTTTCTTCTCTCAAGTCTAAACTTCTCCTATTTATTCTCTCTGCCCATCAGTCCTGCCTGTCCCTCTTCTGCCTAGCTACTGACCATTCAGCTTTTTATTAGACCAATCAGGTGCCTTAGGCAGGCAAGGTAAAACAGCAAAACATCTTTTCTATACAAATGCAGCACAAACAAAAGTAACGCATCAGTTGCATCATTATCAAAGGCAGCAGAAACAAAGGTAGCACACCTTCACATAGTTCAAGCAGCTTTCTGAAGCATAAGCAAAGGTAGCACATTTTCGACTAGTTAAAACAATACTCCAAGCATTAGAGTGACATCAGGGAGAAGAGACACCAGGGGACAGGAGCTAGAAAGGACAGGGGAGGCTAAATCAACAAGCACAGCAAAGGTTTGAGAAAGCTGCTGGCCACCCACTAGGTCCTGCCTGACAATGCATAGCTCCTGACCCAGGTAAGCCACATATTAAGCTGTGGATAGGTGTTAGTTCTTGTTAACACAGGCCTTCCTTCACTCTGCCAGTAGGCTTTTCCCCAGTTCTAGAAATAACATTTGCCTTCCTGCTAATCCTGATTCTGAAGTGTGACTTTAACATGGGAAGTGGGACATGCTCCAAAAGCGCCCCCAGTAGAAACTCCTAGGGAAGTGTTTAAGGTTTTCAAATTGACGGATTTCTTCCATTCTTTTTTCCAATTTACTAAGTCTCTCTTCAACTGTATCTAGTCTACCAGCTTATCCTATCTATGGTTGTTATTTCACATCACTTTTTGCACTGAAAAGATTTCCAGTTAGTTCTTTGTACTATATCCACCAGATTGTATTATATAATCTCTCATTTTGTGGGACCTTTTAGCCACTTGAACAGTTTCAGCATCCTTGTGTTTCAAATTGGTCTGTTTCTTGTCCATTCGGCATGAGTTCTTCTCTTGTCTGTTGAATATAGGTTTTATAAGATAAAGAATCTATGCAAACTGACTTGCTTTCGTTGACCCACTACTCTCCCTATTCCTCCTCCCCAGACATACCTCCTGACAGTAATAAAACTCATACTCATGAGTCTGCCTCAGATACCTGTATTCACTATTGTCTTTGCCTACAATACTCATCTAAATAACTACTTGGCTCATCTCATCATTTTATTTCTCTGTGATCCTTCTAGGTCATGTATAATTTAAGATAAGGAATTGGTATATGTGATTGTGGACATTCCGAAGTCCCATGATCTGTTCTCTGCAAGCTAGAGAGAGCTGGATGCCAGAGTCCCAGTAGGGTGACTCAAGTGTAACCCTGAAAGCCAAAGATCAGGAGCACTGAGGGCAGGCAGACCTCCATTCCAGCTCAGCATGGAAGAGAGGATTCAGCCTCCGTCCACTTTCTATTCTGCACAGGCACTCCACATTTTAGATGAGGTCCACCTTCATGGGAGAGGCCACCATTTTATTGTTACTTGGTTTATGTGCAATACCTCAGAGGCACACGGAAAATAGAAGCCACGTATCTAAATGACCCTGGTCCTTATGATGGCTAGTGTTAATTGTCAAATGGACACAATCTAAAATCTGGGGAGAGTCTAGAGGAAGAATTGCCTACATTAGGTTCACTGGCTGACATGACTGAGAGGGATTTTCTTAGTTGCATTTATTGAGGCGAGAAGACCCACCATGAACGCGGGCAGCACCATTTTACAGGCTGGGCCCTGAACTGAACGCTAAGGAGAGAGCGAGTTGTGCACTAGCATGCATTGCTCTCTGCTCTCGGCTGTGGATGCGGCGTGCTGAGCTGCTTGATAATCCTGCCACCTTGGCTTCCCCACGATGATGTCCTCTAACCTGAAACTGTAAACAAAAACGTTCCCCCTTTAAGTTGCCTCTGTAGTTTGTTTATCACAACAACAGGAAACAAAAGTAAGTCCCTGTCAAGATGACCTATAAAATTCTCATCAAAACCCTGTTGAAATTAAATCCCAGTGGGACACTTGCCACAGGTTAGCCTCGTAAAAATTACTGTGAAGAGCTGGGGTCTTGACAGCGAAGTTCTCTCCAGGTGTTTATAATCTGAGTCCAGAGTCTGATCCCAAAGCCACTCCCACCACAACCAGGAAGAGTGGCATCCATGGAGCTAGACGTCCATGGAGCTAGGCAGTTGGGTAGGCTAAAGGATCAATGCACTTCTGCCTGTTGTTCTCCAATCCTGGCAGGGCCAGCTGGGCACAAGGCTGATGATCTGAGAACCAAGATCTCTGTCCTTGGCAACTGTATATTTAGGCACAGTGGTGTTCATGGTCAGGGGGCCTTAGGCAGGCTTAGGTGCTGACGTGTTCACAGCTGCTAGCTGCGCAGAAGGCCTGAGTGTGAAAGGAGAGGACAATGTTGAAAGCTAACCACATCTGCCTGTTCACATTTGCACATAAGTTCATTAAATTTCATTTGTAATTCTCCTTTCTCTGGACTGGACACATTACAAGGACTTAAAATGGCTGCTGTGTAGGACATGCAGATTAGAAATCAAAGTCCCACAGACCACCACAGTGTTAGACAATGAATTTAACCCCATTTCTAAAAGCATTTCATCCAACACCAGCAGAGTCATGCTGGCAGATGCCCACTCAGAAGGTCAGAGCAGAGCCCTTGATGCCAACCGCTCTCAACTCCTTGGGACATGACCACTGCACCTGTCTCCAGACTGCAGGAAACTTAAGAGCTCCAGGTGGCTCTGGCTGTGAAACGGAGCAGACTCTGGTTCTTCTGACTAAGGGAACATGGGCAGGATGTGGTGAGAGGAGGGGCAAGACCTCCCGCAGCTCCCCAAGGAACAGTGTCTGCGAATGTGCAGTCACCTCTCCTGTGTGTCCTATGCTTCAAGTCTACTCACCAACCAGCCATAGGTGCCAAAGATGCCTGCCACATGACCAAGGCTACAGACCACACCACACCCCCCTGGGGAAGGCACTGCAAAAGCATATTGGCACAGGCAACTAGTGGCCAGGAGCAACCCTTTGTCACAACACCTTTGAGTGATACCACCGAGACAGGTATCTTTCTCCCAGAATCCCCCACAGGGTTTAGCTTTGGAGGCCACTGGACTGATAGTTCACCTGTTAGGGGTGGACAGGGTTTGCCTGCATGTATGTCTGTGAACCATGTGCACGCCTGGTGCCCATGGAGACAGAAGATAACATATCCCCTAGAACTAGAGTTACAGACAGCTGTGTGCCTCCATACGGGTCTCTGCAAGAACAGCAAGTACTCTTAAGCACTGAGCACTGAGCCATCTCTCCGTCCTTCTATCTCGACATTACCATCATTTTCTTTTTTGGGACTTGTTAAATGTGGAAGATATTTGCTCATATCCTCCTCTCCCCCAACTCTAAACCCCATCTCTAACCCCCTTCCCTACCCACCCAACTTTGTATACTTTCTATTTTCTAAGCCGTCAAGACCAATTTATGCTACCCAAATATTCTTGGATGTGTCATCTTCCACTGGAGTGTGGTCAGCTCACTAGAGGCTACACTCCTGGAGAAACTGACTCTCCAGCCCCCAGCACTAACAAATTGCTCCACAGCTAAGGGTGGAATATCATGCCTAATTCCCCTTTTCATGCTGGGATTTAGTCTGGTGTGGGCTTGCACAGGTCTTGTGAATGCTGTCACAACCACAGTGAGTTCATAGGTACAGTGCCCTGCTGTGTCCAAAAGACAGTTTCCTTGTAACCATCCACATCCTTTGGCTCTTATCTTCCACAATGATCCCTCAGCCGTGGGGGGGGGCGGTGCAGTATGTGTATTTCTTCTTCAGCCTTTTACTCCCTGTGTCTTTGCCAGTTACGGGTCTCTGTGTTGATCATCATCTCATACAAAGACATTAGTGTCAGTTTAATACTGTGTCCACTTAGCAGCAGAAAGGACTTGTGTGAATTCTTAGTCTTCTTCTGGAAGAGCATGACCCCACCTGAAAGTCTCATGCATGCCAGACACAGGAGCAGCAGAGTTTGGGAAGAGTGGTTTTTGTGGGGGGGGGCAGGCTCTGGATGTAGCTCAGCTGGTAGAGTGCTTGACTAGCGTTCATGAAGCCCTGCACTGTGTTTCCAGTACAGTAGAAACCAGGCAGAGTGGTCCAGTCCTGTAGTCCAAGCACACAGGAAGCAAGGCCAGCCTCAGCTATATAGTGAATCTTATGCCTGCCGGGGACACAAGAAGCCCGTCTGTGGCGATGAAGATGATGATGAAGATGATGATGACAATGATGATGACGACGATAGTAATAATAATGGCACTGGTGAGATGACTCATGGTGAAATAGTGGTGCTGGTCCCCGGACCCAACCGAGGTGGAAGGGGAGAACTGACTCCCACAAGTTTCCCTTTGACCTTGCACATGGCACAAGCCTGAGCACTCTCCCTCTCTAAATAAACAAAGTTCCACCTAGGTGAGGGAAATGGGACCTGCTCACCTCCCCTCTCTCTAAATAAACAAAGTTCTCTCTGGGCGAGGCAGAAGGAATGATCAAAAGAGACCTGAGAGCACACAATGAAAAGTGAGAGACTTGAGACTCCGCCCAGCCTGGGGTGGGAGAGAGGTCGGAGTAGTTCTGGTGGGAGGGAGGCTAATTAGCCCCGTGCTGACAGGGAGGGAGGGACACAAGCTCCAGACAGAGCCCTCTGGCAGACAGTGGAAAGGAGCCACGGCCATCTTCCACACTCTGGATAATAGGATTGCACTGATGCAGGTCTGATAGAGGAAGACTGGAGGGGTCAGAATGGACCCAGGAGACTGGAGGCGGAAGTGCTGATAAGAGAAAACTCACGAAGGAAGTGGGGCCCTGTGCTCAGGACACACAGGAGAGAAGGCAGAGGAAGAGAGCTCACCCTGAGGTGAGGCGTCAAGCGGATCCCGGGGTTCTGGCTATGAAAGTGGGTGGATGATACAGAAATAAAGGAGGAAGGGTTCGATTTGGACATGATCTTGAGATCTGTGTAGGTTGCTGGATCTTAAACGACAGTCCCCAGACAAGCAGTGGTCTGCAAACCTGTGAGAGATGCATGCACTTAGATGCTACAGAATGAGTTCTCAAGTGGGTCCACTACTATGAGTCTTGATGAACACTCTTGTCCTCCAGGTGGTGGTGTGCTGGCTCTGCAGAGGACAAAAAAAGCCCTCGCTAGTGCTTGCCTGTGCCAGTGGTGGAAATAACCACAGTTTCCTGTCTTGAGCAACCAATCTGACTTCACTAGACAGACTCACACAGAAGAAGGAAGACATGTAAGCAGTGGGTCTATAAGCACAGGAAGGGGCTAGGGAGATGGTTTAGAGGGTAAGAGCACTTATTGTACAAGTTTAAAGATCTGAGTTCAAATCTCCAGCAGCACCCATGTAAAAAGCCTAGTGTGACTGTGCATACTCTATAACCCCAGCACCATGGGAAATGGAGAGAAGAGGGCCATTTTGGATTTGGGCAGCCAATATCTTTCTCTGGCCCTCATGTGTGTGTGCGCGCACACACACACACACATGCACACACACAAAGATTAGGGGTGCGGCTTGATGGTACCTGCTTAATATATGTGATGCTCTGGGTTCGATACCCCCAGAATAATAAGATAGTAAACACAAGGATGGATGGGAAGGGAACTCGGCAGTGGAGGAGGAAGACCAGCACCCTGACAGAAGGAAGGGCCAAGCTCCTCAACAAGCAACAGGAGAGGATCAGAGCACAATGGTGGTTGTGAGACCAGCAGACCCAGGTAAGGAGGTCCTGGCTCACTGAGAGGCCCTCCTCCTGCATCACCCTCCTCCTGCATCACCCTCCTCCTGCATCACCCTCCTCCTGCATCACCCTCCTCCTGCATCACCCTCCTCCTCCATCACCCTCCTCCTGCATCACCCTCCTCCTGCATCACCCTCCTCCTGCATCACCCTCCTCCTGCATCATCCTCCTCCTCCATCACCCTCCTCCTGCATCACCCTCCTCCTGCATCACCCTCCTCCTCCATCACCCTCCTCCTGCATCACCCTCCTCCTCCATCACCCTCCTCCTCCATCACCCTCCTCCTCCATCACCCTCCTCCTGCATCACCCTCCTCCTGCATCACCCTCCTCCTCCATCACCCTCCTCCTCCATCACCCTCCTCCTGCATCACCCTCTCCAGCACGGAGCCCTCTCCAGCACAGAGCCCTCTCCAGCACGGAGCCCTCTCCAGCATGGGAATGCCTTCTGATCCTCAAACACTCTGAGCTGCTCCCCACCCCAGAACGTGGGTACATCTGTCTCTGCCTGGGGCTCTGTCCTGTTGGTCCTCTCCTGGGCAATAGCTCATCCCTAATGCTCGCTAAGTACCACCTCCATTGAGGAGCCTGCCCTGACCAGGTTGCTCAGGCCACTCTCAAAAGTTCTATGGTGGAGAGGAAAGTCAGACATTCAGACTCAGAGGGTGGCAGTGGAATGCTGAGGTGGAGAAGCTGGACGGGCATTCTCTGGTGCCTGGTCTGATCATCACAGGAAGGATGCTGCTGCTACCACGGACTACTGTGTACCTTGCCGTCACCGCCTGGTTCAGACTCCCAGCCCCTTCTTCATCCCGGAACGGCTGCTTCTTTTTCCTGTAAGCAAATAAGCCTCCTTGCTGTGTGTCTCCCCTCTCTTTTAATAAGTTTTGTTCTGGGAAGTGCCTACCTCCTTCCCCATGGCAATGGGCTTCTTGGCTTAGCCTTCATGATGGAAAGCTGCAGAAGAGGAGGACAGGGGGAAAAACAGTTACAACAGGGACACGTTAGTCAGTTTTGTATGACTGCAGCAAAATACCTGAGGCCACTGTCTTATAAGGAGGAAAAGGTTTATTTAGATCACCATTTGGGAGGCTCTAAATCCAAGGCCAGGAGGTCTGGCCTCAGCGGTACCTCATGGCAAGAGCATGTGCAGGGACACGGGGTCACATCATGACCCAGATGATGAAGAATGAGAACAGGCAGGGCTTGGTTTGACCCTTTATAACAGAGAGGAATTGAGGAGTTCCATGACCCCAGCACTTAGGAGACTGAGGCAGGAGGATTGATATAAGCTCAATGCCAGCCTGAATTATTCAGTGAAACCCCATCTCAGAACAAAAAAGAGTCCCTTGAGGACCACCAAGGGAGTCAAAGACTCCCATTGAAGTGTTTGAGGACCTCTGCTAGGATGCCCTCAGTGTCTCTACAGTTCCTCCCTGTGGATCAAGCTACACTTAGGACCCTACATAGGAACTCAGCAGCCAATGGCAGCAGGGAGCACTGCAGGTGTTTTTAAAGCACCTTCAGGATTACCTACCTCTGTCTCAGCTGTATTCATTCATAAGACGGAAGCTCCCTGAAGGGCAAGCCCTGTCGTGCTCACTGATATCAATGCATCCCCCTCTCCTAGTGGAGGGGCTGGTTCATGCAGAGTTTCCCTATGTGTGGTTGAACTAACTTGATCTGTAGCTAAGTGGCTGGTGGGTGGGAGAAGACTGGGCTTGGAAATGGGGGCTGAAGGCCTAGGCCAAGGTCATGGGCTAACGGATGTCACAGATGGGGTTCAAGAGAGAGTGTTAAGAATAACTGAGGTGTATGCAGAGAAAGGAGGAAAGCGGACAATTTGGGCTGCATCAGAATTCAAAGATTTCTAGTTTAAGGTGCTGTCAACAGTCATGAGCAGCCCAAATGATAGGGGAAAACACCTACAAACCACACTCTGCCAAGAGAAGAATACCCAGGTTCTGAGTGGGTAAAACGCTTGCTGTGCAAACAGTAGCCCCTGAATTCCATTCCTAGAACCCACCTAAAAGCTGGGCATGGCAGCATGCCTGTAACCCCAGCACTGGGGATGTGGAGATAGGAGGATCTCTGGGGCTCATGGGGGGCGGGGAGGTCACTGGTCAGTCATTACAGCAGGTGAGCTCCGGGCTCGGTGAGAGACCCTGTCTCAAAGAATAAAGCAAAGATCGATGGCGGAAAACACTTGATGTCCACCTCTGGTCTTTGTACGCACAGAGAAAGATAGAGGGAAAAGAATAGAGACGGAGAAAGAGACCAGAATATTTAACAAGCTCCTAAGACTGGGAAAGAACTTGGTATCACCTGGATGAACTTTAGGGGCATCACTAGGTGAAGAGTATCCCGCCTATCTCCATCTGGAACAATCCATAATCCATACCTGGAGCTCCTGTCTTACCCAACTCCAAAGCAAGTGCCTGTGTCTCTTGAATTCCCACCTCCATCATACCTTATATAACCCAGGCTGGCCTGGAACTCACTGCATAGTCAAGGCTGGCCTTTACCTTTGGGTGTTGCTGACACTACATCCTGAGTGCTTGGATTCGACACATGCACCCATCTATGTAGCACTGGGCGTCAAACCAGGGCTTTCCACACATTGAGCAGGCACTGGACCAACTGAGTTGCATCCCCAGCCCCGACTGTCTCGAGTATTACATGGCACATTCCTGGCCACCGCACACCCCATTGGTTCTCTGCCTGATACATCTTTTGGCCCTGTGGGTGTCCCTAGGTTAGCTGTTTATAGCTCTTCATAATCTAGTTACTGAACCATCAAACTCCACAAAGTAGCCTCCCCAGAAAATGATACTTTGACATTCCCTTCCCCCTATGAATGCCAAGGGAAGATGCAAGAGCTGCTGCAGCAATGCCACCCGCCCGCCCACAGTCACATTCATCCAAATACTCCTGAGGGTGACAGTCTGTGCCTTGTTAAGGGGGAAGGAGAGTGTGGAAACAGCTAACACTCATTTGGATCCAAAGCTGGTGACTAAGGAGGGTGATTGAGCTGGGTTGTTCTGGGGGCAGAAATGAAATGCGCCTAGGAAGAAAAGAACCTGAAACTCTTTTGTAGTTTTAAATCGGCCCCTGAGGACAGCCCAAAGGAGCCCTAGACAGACATGAAGACAATGTCTGCCCCTCCCACGGTGCCTGTGGGAAGGATGCACAGGGTGCTGAGGAACATTTCCTTGTGCTTCTGCTGGACGCTCTTTCTAGAAAAGTGCTGTGGGCCCATAGTTTGCATATCATTTCGGGGGGCCGTGGGTCCAGGTGGAGGACCTCAGACCTGCATGGAGGCGCTAGAGAGCAGCAATTGACCTCTCTGTTCCTCAGTTTCTGCCCACGGAGACGACAATGGGCATAACCTAGTAGTGGGGCCTGCAGAGATCCCTAAGTAGTCCACGAGCTTCTCATACAGCCTTACTCATTCTCAGACCACATGTGCGGACAAGGTCTCTGGGTAGGGGCTGTCCCTGGCCCACAGCTCGGAAGCACAGTCTGCAGTTGCCTTCCAGAGAGCAGATTCCAGCAAGGTTCTTGTTTGAGAGGAAGCAGAAAGGAGTCCTGGGGTTCCAATAAGACTTGAGATAGGTATGATTTTTCTCTTTGACTGCACAGGGTCAGGTCAAACCAGCTCAGAAACCAGCCTGGCCTGGTGTGTCCTTTCCTGAGGAGCAGAGCAACTCTGAGCAGCTAGCCGCCCAGGGCACGGGATGGAAATCCCCTGGTCATGAGGCCTCGCAGCCACAAGAGGGAGCCACAAGTTCTGAAAGGGGACAGTCTGGCTATGAGCCTCCCCCCCTCCCATCTCCCCCAACACCCACGCAGGCTTCCTAATCGTGATATTGGGTGCTGATTATGGAGGTGGGCAAGCTCCAGGATGCACGGTGTGGGTGGGCCAGCAGCTGGGCAGGTGTTCCCCTGCCGCCTGCCTCCCGGCAAGCACAATGTGCACAAAGCCCGGGACACCTTTGGGACCAGATGCCCACCCCCCAGGGCCTCTGAGCTTGCAGACCTTTGTCAAGGAGCACCTCACCCTTTCTTAATCCTTCATTTTCCTGGTGAAATCAAGTGAAGTTCAAAAGGGAAATGGGACAAATGCAGACAGGCCAGGGCAACCTGTAACTACCCCTTCTCAGAGCTAGCCATTATCAAGATGGAGGGATGGCCTTTCTAAATACCACTCCCCAGAAGGTTAATAAGCACCGGGGGGGGCTTTCAGGAAGAACGGGGGTCACTGTGGACTGTGGGCAGTTTGTGGAATGCCAAGAAGCCTCCGAGCTGCAGCATTCTGAAGGGAGAAACAAGTGGACCGGACATTCCTGTGTCTGCAAGACTAGGATGTCTGTCCTGCTCAGTGCCAGGGTGCCATCCTGGTGTGATTCCTGCGTTACAGCTGAGGACACTGGATGCTGAGGGTTGACTTGATACCCCCGGGCCTTGCTGCTAGATCTGAAACTGTCTTGCCCAAGAAGAAAGCACTTTCAGAAGCCTCCCAGGGGCTCTGGGAGAAGGATCTGCTCCCCTTCAGGCTCAGAGAGCACTCCACCTGGCCCTGTCCTGACTGTATCAGCACCTCACTCCAACCTCTGCCCTCAGCATCCACAAACAGCCCAGAGTTCTCGGGATGGCCCCAAAGTTACAGCTGCTGTCTGTCCAGTCAGCCAGTGTGTCAACTTCACCATCCACTGACAATGACCAGCTTTCCAAAGCTGTGAGAATCCGTCAGATAGCTAGACTGTTTCCTGTCCCTCTGCCTCCATGAGGGACTCCACAGCAATGCCTCCAACAATGGTCCGAAGAATGGGCCAGGAAGGTTCCCATCGCCTTCTCCGGAGTGAAGCACTGCACCACCCCACCCTTCATTAGTGACATCCTCCTCCCAGCTCTGAGGACAGCCCAGAGCCCTCTGTTCCCACCTCCTGTTCTTAAGACACCTATTCCCAGACTCAGCCTTGAGGCCCAGGGAGAGGCCACTCTCTGTTGCCAGGGCAACAGCTCCATTGTTCCCGGGCAGTAGTTGAGCTCTAGGCCCCCTCAGTTCCTGGACTGGGCTCTCCCTACCATTCTGAGCCAGTGGAGCTGGCAGGGCCCCGTTCCACTCCTCAGGATGCAGAGGAGGGGGAGATAGGCTGACCGGTCACCATGCCAACATCGCACTGCCCACATTCATGAGGGAGGGAGCAGCAGGGTGTTCTGCCATCTAGAGAGGGAGTAGTGAGTGTGAGTCCCTTGGGTCACCTGTCCTAAGCCCCCTGCTGCTGGCCCAGCCACCAGTGTGCAGACTCACAGCTGGAGAGAATTTTCCTAACATGGGTATTTTGCCCATTTTGCTCCATGTTTGCATGCTTAAACAAAGCCCGGGGCTTAGGACTTCCCTTAGCAGACCTGAATCTTCAGTCAGCAGGCAGGTCCATCCCTAGCTAAGGCAAGAGAGCCAGACCAAGTCTCCCTGACCTGCAGCAGTGTTACTTCCGCATTTCCTCTTTCCTTCTCTGCCTCATTCACTTACAGCATTCACCAAGGTGACTCGGGAACATCTTGCTTGCTAATTTATACCTGGGGGAGACTCTTCAAACAGTAAGTGGTCCAAAGTGTCCCAGACACTAAGCTTTTCAGAGGAGGGAGGAGCCTGGGTCGGCCTGGCTCCAGCATCCCCACTTCAAAACTGAGAAGAGATCACATCTCCCCGCCATCCCCAGCGTCTTCGTTCCTGCTGTGCACAACAAGTAAATTGATTATTGGCTAAAAATGAAGCTGGCTCAAGGAAGTTAAGGGCAGGGCGCCTTGCACAATTGCAGCTGCTTGGTATTGCAATGAATTTGTAAGTAGATGTGCAGGGTGGCTATCTTGTGTGTTAGGGCAATAAGGAGATGACAACTGTTTGCTTATCCATTCTCCTCTTAAGCTCTCAATTAATAAGTACTAATGGGTCATGTGTGTTATGAGGACAGGACTGATACTATGGTGAGAGGGACAGATGAATAAACTGTCCTTTGCATTCCAACAGGACATGCCCGGACTAGGGGCATCCCCAGAAGGAGTGTCTGCGGTTGAGGTCTGAAGGGTCAGAAGCCACTAAGTCTGAGTTCAATGGAGTTTCCTCTGTGGTAAGTAAGCCATGAGTCACACACGGACTAGGCTGACAATGATTCTGACACTCCTCTAGCTCAGTTTTCATCCAGTCACCACTGTCTTTGTCATATCTGTGTACCACCTACTGTTATTCAAGTAACAATTTTCTTTACACTGACTAAGGTCTAAAAATAGAGGCTGGAGAGGTAGCTCAGCCAGCACAGTGCATGCACAGAGCCCTGGGGCCAACACAGTGCATGCACAGAGCCCTGGGGCCAACACAACGCATGCACAGAGCCCTGGGGCCAACACAACGCATGCACAGAGCCCTGGGGCCAACACAGTGCATGCACAGAGCCCTGGGGCCAACACAACGCATGCACAGAGCCCTGGGGCCAACACAACGCATGCACAGAGCCCTGGGGCCAACACAGTGCATGCACAGAGCCCTGGATCCAACACAACGCATGCACAGAGCCCTGGATCCAACACAACGCATGCACAGAGCCCTGGATCCAACACAACGCATGCACAGAGCCCTGGATCCAACACAACGCATGCACAGAGCCCTGGGGCCAACACAGTGCATGCACAGAGCCCTGGGGCCAACACAGTGCATGCACAGAGCCCTGGGGCCAACACAACGTTGCCTACACAGGGCGTGGTGGGCTCATGCCAATCCAGAAAGATTTTTCTCTTTGTGACTTAGAAGGCATGGAGAAGAATTTAAAAAGCAAGAGTTGTCCTTGGTAGGTCATTTAATTCTACTGTGGGACTGCCATGTCAGAGCCCCCACGCAGTGACACACACTAAAAACACAGATGCCTCTTCGATCCTCCTTGCATACATTTTTGGGCATTTAGAAGACAGGCCACAGTCCTCCCAATGACCTCTCTATACAGGCTTCTGTGTGATCCTCCATCCCCTCCAGTATTTCCATTGTGACAGTCTGCTATGGGGTCCGCTCTCACAATTTCTCTCTCCACTCCACCTGTCGCCTCCAGATCAGCTCAATTGGGTCTCTTCCTGCGCCTTCACGCCATCATCTGGTCCTCACTCAAGAGGGGAGCCCCAAGGGCAGAGATTTCCCAGCCTTGCTTTGCACAGCAGGCCTGAGCCACTGAGTGACTCACCGGCAACCTCCTGGATTGTGTTTTCTGTTGGCTTTTGGCATTTTCCCTTCTAAGCACGTTGCAGGAGAAAAACCAAGCAGGGGATTATTACATTCTAAGGATGTGAAATCTGAGCCTGCAAATCCTGCCCTTTCACTATCACACACATGCACACACATGCACACACATGTACATACATGTACACCCGCACACTGTACACATGAGTACATCTGTCACTTTTGTCTGACAGTCTACCACTAGTACTCTAAGTATTCTTCCAGCTAAAATAAAAGGCCACTTTGAAAGCAATCTGCCTAGTGCGTATTTTTGCTTCATTTATATGAATTAACCACGTCAGGCTAACCTGGAAACATAGAGATGGGAAATAGACTAGTGGATTCCTCAATTTGGGGTGATGGGAACTTGGGGTGATGACTGAAGAAGACAGAGGGGTTGTTTGCATGCTGTCAATGGAACCCATGTCTTTAGGCAAGTGCTTTTCCACCAAGCTGTACCCCCCAACATTTGTTTCGGTTTTGAGCTGATGAAAATGTCCTATAGTCATTTGTGTTGAAGACTGTAGCATTTGGGGATATAGCCAAAAACATTTTGAGTTGTCTGATTTAAATAGGTGAACTGTATGGAATGTGAATTGTACCTTGAAGCTGTTACCAACAGATAGGATTAGAGGATGCAAGGAGAAGGGAGGCAGGGCCCTTCATCTGCTCCCATCACTGCCCTTCCTTCCTGTGTCTTTATTCCAACTGTCAGACCTGCCCAGATTGTCACCACCCTATCAGCCTCTCAATGCCTTCCATCTACCACTTACTTTAGTGATAATTAGAACTAACACTTGCTCAACCCTGATTTTGAGTTTGGAAAGAGTTCCTTACTTAATTCCTTGGTGAGACTGGCTATGCACAAAACTCAATGATACAGGTCACCCATTTACCCCATGCAGACTGTTAGGGGAATTGCAGAATCTTCTGGTTTCCTATGCTACTCCTAGACCCTTCTGCTAGCATATCCTCCTTATAAAGCTAAGCCACTCATTGATAGCCCCACCAAGCACCCTTCAGTCAGTCATCAGCACTGTCTGCTAGCCTGCAGGCTCCCCTCCAACCTAACCTTCCCCAGACTGACCCATGAGCAGGAGCTGGGGTCATGAGAAATGCTCAGACTGTCTGTCACGAGGGCTCCAGTAGTGTGATAACAAACTCAGAGCACTCAATTCTGGCTCAAGATACAGTCACGGAACCAGGAATGTCCTATGACTATCCTATGAGTGTCCTGGGTTGCCTTAAGCCAGCATCTTCGCCTTCGGAGTTAGTGACTGAATAGAGCCCAAGTTCAGAGACAGATTTTTATCCAGTTTGTTGACTTACAGTGTTGGTTGAACTCACATCCTCACCAGATTCCTTATGTGAAAGTCAGGTCAATGGTTAGTTAAGACCACAGACCCCTAGATCAGAGTGGCAGTATCCAGGGAGCTTTGGGTAAATCTTGTCAACTGAAACACACACAGCTCTGTCAAGCTTCTCCCACAGGCAGACACCACCTCTCCCATCCTACCCAAGGAAGCCAGTCCTTCTGAGAGACTCTGTGGTTGTCCTCTGCCCTCAACACTTGACTCTGCCTCCAGATCCTTCTTTAAAGACAATGTCTGTGTTCAGGGAGCCAGTTAGAAAGGTTGTAACTTACAAGTCAGTGAGATGGGAGTGGAGAACAGAAATGAAGGAAGGAAAGTGGGGAGTGAGAGCGAGGCAGGGAAGGAAAGGGACAGAAAACAGATCTACGTGTGTATACATGCACATGCATGAGTATGTATGTTCAAGGGCATGCATATGTATGGGGTTGCGTGTGCAGGAATGTATGTGAGTGTGTGTTTTGTATGTGTATGAGGTCAGAGGTGAATGTCAGATGTCTTCTTCTGTCACTCTACATCTCATCTTGGGACACTAGACTCTGAATAATACCGGAGCTTACCAGTTGGGCTAGACTGGCTGGCCAGTAAGCCCAATGCATCTTCCTGTCTCCACATCACAGTGTTGGAATTGCACATGTTCAGTGGCTTTTATTTTATGTGTATGAGTAAGTGTTTTGGGCATATGTATGCATGCTCACCATGTACATGCCTGGTGCCAGTGGAGGTCAGAGTTACAGACGGTTGTGAGCCACCATGTGTGGGCTAGGAACTAAACCCAGGTCCTCTGCAAGAGAAATAAGTGGTCTTAAGTGCAGAACAGTCTCTCCAGTGCTTGTCTTTGTATGGGAGTTCTGGGGTATAAGTAAGTTCATTATAGTACGGTGCGCACTTTAATGTCTGCACTATCTCCCCAGTCCTGTTTCTGGGCAATGAGATCCCAACATTGGTTATGTTGTAAAACCACAAATAAAGCATTGGTTATATAAGGAACACAAGTACGGTAAACACAGACCGCAGTTGCTGACCGATTGTGGATAGCAAGGACTAAAATATGTGAGACATTACATCAAGATCCTATGTGAATAGTTAAGAAAGAGGGGAGGGAAGAAGGAATGGAGAGAGAGGGAGAGACAGACAGACAGAGAGAGAGACAGAGAGATACACAGAGAGAGAGAGAGACAGGGAGACAGCGATTGACAGAGACAGAGACACAGAGAGAGAAAGAAGGAAAGAGAAGGGAAGCAAGCTTGAGATCTAGAAAACTGACAAATTTTTTGAGGATATCAGAGGGGCATACATCTTCACTAAATTCCCAAACCACATCAGGTTAGGAAGAAAACGGTGTACTCTGTAGCATATGACATTGCAAGTTGATGCTGTAACTCTTCTTCCCAAATTCCCCCCAGGGGAATTGTGGTCATTTAGCGGAGTGACTGTGCACTGGCAAGAGAGAAGCACCAGCGTTTCCAGGGCTTATCTCAGCCCTCAGTAAATGAGATCCCTGGTCAGGGGTTGAGTAAGGAAGATCCTGGAAATTAATGGAGTTTGGGCCAAATGAGGGTGGGACAAACAGACCTGTGATTGTTCCTCCAGGCCCTGAATACACACTCAGATATAGGCTAAGCTGAAACACATAAAGTCAAGACAGGAAGGACCAAGAGAAAGTGCCTGATGACACAAGTCCCCAACAAAGAAGCCATTAAAAATCAGTGCTATGCTTTGGGGCCAATCACAGAGATTAGTGCTACCACAGAAGACAGACAGGGGTGGTATGCTGGAATCAACTGACATGGAATAGTTCTCAGGAGGTGGGTCTGTCTGTCTGTACTCTGTGTGTGTATCTGTGTGTATCTGTGTGGTGCATGTGTGTTCACATGTATGTGAACCAGTATATGTGTGTGAAGGCCAGAGGTAGACGGCATGTCTTACACAGAAAGCCAGGGTTTCTTAGTGAATCCGGAGCTCACTGATGCAGCTAGTCTACTCAGCCAGCTTTCCCTAGGGATCTACTGTCTCCACCTCTGGAGCACAGGACTTAAAAGCAGGTGAGTGGCCACACCTACCTGGCATTTACATGGATGCTGATCTTCCAAATTCTTTTACTGGTTTGCAAGCCAATGCCATCACCTTGTCTCCCATCATGAGGTCTCTCCCAAGGCTGCATATGTCTTCAGTGGCAGCACTTTGGATGTTTGCAATCTGACGTGGCTCTGGTAGTTAAACCAAGGAAAAAGGAAACACGTAAACCTCTTGCTCTTGCTCTCCTTTTCTGAGAGCCAGTTTACCCATGGGCCACTGATGACTTCTGTCACATTCTCAATTAATGTACATTTGCACATGTCTACCCTGTACGTGGAAAATAATGACAGTGTGTAGGGGTAATCAGGGTGTGAGTTTAATTATAGCTGAGGTTCCAGATGTGGTCTATTTATTGAACTCTATCAGCACAGTTTCTGACACCTACTATGGTTAGGTGAATGAACACAAGCGTGGATGGATCATAGGACAGGGTTGTTTGTTCAGAGGGACGTTACATCGCTATTGCTGCTGTTTTCCTGGAATTTAAACATGGGACTGAAGATCCCTACTGTGTTGAACAACCAGGCTCTGCTGCATTACAGCTTGGTCAAACAACTCTGGGAGGGACTGGAATTTGAAAACTTGGTTCTGTATCCAAAAGTTGAATCACATCTTCCTGATTCCTGTGTCACAGTCTAGGGAGGGTTCCCTGGCCTCAGCACTTGTCCCTATGGGTTCCAAGCTCCACATTTCTTGATGGTGGTTGGGGTGGTGAGAAAGTCTTTAAGGAAATCGGTGATGAGATACCCCTGGATTCATTCCAAGGCCTTCCAACCCTTCCGATGATTTTGTGAGCATCCAATGCCCTGAATATTTCCTGCATTGATTCACTCTCCTGGATTTTGGTTATCTGCAACCAAACTCTAATACACACCTTTTCCTCAAGTTTTCTTTCATCAGTTTTCAAATCTGCTATTAGATCACTTCTCCTTTTAATCCCCCAAAGAAGAACATTGCATTTGGGGGAGGATGTGTGTAACATTGTGTGGGACCTTCTCAACTTCCTGCCTCTCTGAGGTCTCTGGGGCTTAGCAGCGTCATCAGCTTTGTTATATCCTTCCTCCAAGTCAAACCATCTCAGCTCTGGAGCCCACTCTTTTCCAGAAGCACACATCTCCCTCCCCGCTGCACCTCAAGTGATGCTGCTCTCTTGCTGTTGATTATTCATTAGAGAAACACCAGCAAGGCTTTTTCATTAAAATAACAACAACTTCAACAGCACTGTCTCCCCCATCACCACCATGGCAGCACATTTCTAGACCTTTCCTCGGGAGCTCTACTCAGTCTTTATCTCTTTGGAGGCTCCATGTTCTTCTGAAGAATGTTTATTTATTCGAGGCTCTCTCCCTAAGCCCTCCTTTTTTTTCCTACTTTAATGGTTCACCCTAGATAATCTTATCCAAGCCCTTTGCTTCAACTCCTGGCAGTCATCAGGTCTATAGCCCAGACCATTACCCAACTTACAGACTGTGTCTATTGACTTCCCACTCTTTCAGTAACTTTCTGCTTGCATCCAAAAACATTGGGCATCTATTCCCACTGGAACTTCTCACAGGCGTCTTGTTCCCAGTAAGTCTAGCACAGAACTGATCTCACAAAATATATGCTTCCTTCTAAGTCCTTGTCCTGTGAATGACACCATAGTTCACACAGACACGCCAAGAACCTTCTTAATCCCTTCTCCCTTATCACTCACACTATATTGTCACATAGGTTTCAGTTCTACCACAAATACTTTGTAATGGTTTATTTCTTCTTCATCTTCTGCCCTGGTGGAGGTCCCCAAAGGACTCTCTTCTTCTCC